ACTGCAATTGCAAAGACTCTAGAGGTTCGCTTTAGACTATCAGGTACTTTTAGCATGAAATGAAATGTCTGAGAAGCTGCATGTCCACGAAAATTTCCATACAACTTTTATATTAATACCATAAGATCATTCCACATTTCAATTTTTTTCAGTGCTACTCGTTTGTTTATTCATTTTACAGTATTCTTACATGCCCATGATGCAGAATTGCAGCTTCCTAAAAAAACAGGTCCACAACAACTTGCTCAGAAATCGCTGAATGGAGTAATAGGAAATCTGATGCCGACCAACTCAGCCTGCTAGGCTAATATGTCACTTAACCCTAATTCTCTAACTGACTACCCATTAGATTATTAAATCTAAGGTTGGATTGCAACCAAGTTTAATGTACATATTGTTTTAACTCATCTAATATCTTTCTCATATTGTTCTAATGGAAACTCAGCAGTTCACCAAAATCTAACGAACTTGCATGTCCAACTTGCTTGTGAGCAAGGCCACATTTGAGGATACAAGGCCTTCTAGAATCTTCATTCATCTTTTGCGTATTTACTGAGCCTCATTCAGAAATGCCTTTTAACTTTGACAGAGTTGTGAAATCAATTCAGTAAGTTATAGTAGCCAAATCTCATGACTCATGCTAGCTCTTAAAATGTTGAATATAAACCTTGCTTCACTGTGAGCCTTGGCTCGAACAGAAATCAAAATTGAATTTACAGTCATAAATGAGTGTGGCTGGAATCAGATCAAGGTCACAGAAAGTCACTAATTTAGTAGCTTAACAAGTTCATGGACATATGTCGATGACATGAAACAAAGTGATTCACAAACTGAAACAAGATTTAGAAATCCTTACCAAATGTCGCAAATGATCTTTGACCAGGTCATTTTCTGTAAGATTGATCGTATGTAGCTGAGATGACTTCAGTTTTTCGACCATAGCATCAAGTTCTTCTTCAGTGTGAAGACCCACACTGTACAAAACAAAGAATAAAGTACAGTAAATGAATTAAGTACCTCTTTACTTCTAACAGTGCATGAGAAAAAAAATCCAAGTACATGAGATGAAATACTCGCCTGCATAGTACTAGAGCTTTTTCTTTGTCCGAATGAAATCTGTATCTGAATTCAGTAATATTAATAGGCCGCAACTGCAAATGAAACAATAGCAAGTGTTACAATAGACGTGGTCTTTGAGAGAAGAAGAAAATATAAACGCACCAGCTCACAGAATTGCTTGAAGCTTCCAGGTTCCTCGGGCATATAAGTAGCCAATACAGCTTCTCTTCTTCTACCAACATCTGCAAGCTCAGTTACCAATCTCAATCTATCGAAATTCATGTTAGCTCCACTGGTCAGAGCTACAACATTTGCATCCTTAAGTCCATAGTACTTGCAGTAAGCTTCAGCGCCAGCCAGGGCAAGGGCACCTGCTGGTTCTAAAATACTCCTCTTTTCCTCAAACATGTCCTAATATGCCAAATTAACATTAGCATTATTGTCTTCAAATCTTGGAACTACAGAAGCTACAAGTATTATTCATATCCATGCAATATTAACATCCACCACAACTTCAAAACTTGTGTGCAGCTTGGGCCATCCTCAAAACTTTCAGAAGAACAAGATAGTGTAGCAAGTATGAGATAACACTCACTAACTTTGATAAAATAGCAAGAGCCTTAAGGTTTATACACACTGTTATGAACAACAACAGCAACAACATACCCAGTATATTCCCAACAGGTTGGGGTCTGGGGGGTCAATTGTACGCAGACCTTACCCTTGTAATTATACAAGGAGGTTGTTTCCGTAGCGACCCAAGGTGCATTGCGCCGTTTGATATATATATATATTTTTTTTCTAGAAACTTCACTAATAGAGAAGAAGCACTAGAATTTAATTGAGCCATTTTGATCTAGTCCATTATTAGCACTATGCCAGGAGAATTGTCATAGTGCTAATAATGGACTAGATCAAAATGCTATCATCAATGTCTTCACCTAATATCCCTCATTTCAATAGCGTATCATCGTGCAGATGATATAATAGGTCTCCAAAAAGATTATTACAAGTACAACACATCATCATCCCATATTATTTCAAATTGTAAATGCAGCTTAATACCAGCCAGTCCAAAAAAAGCGTCTGATGAAATAAGGAAAGGAAAGAAAAACAAAAGAGATAAAGCATATAAATCAGAAAAAAAAAATGGCTAACCTTTATCGATGCACAAATTGCATCACGGCTAACTAGAACCACACCGTCTATCAGCTCCCTACAAAGGCGAAAGGTCTCTTCACCCACCACCTTGACTGCCACACCATCAGCAAAGCCTCCCACTTGATCAAGCATCACTCGCTGGCCATTTTTCAGTGACAAGGCCATTGCATTTGCATCAAAAGGTTCGACCCCAATTATTTTCACTTCTGGGGAGACCCTTTTCACATACGCAGCAATCCCGGCTATTAGCCCACCACCACCCACAGGCACGAATATGGCTTCTATTGGGCCTTTCATCTGCCTCACAATCTCCATCCCCACAGTCCCTTGGCCCGTGATAACATCCGGATGGTCAAAAGGAGGGATAAATGTTCGGCCCTCCTCTTCGGCCCGTTTTTTCGCATAGAACTGGGCTTCATCGTACGAGTCTCCAAACAGTACAACAGTTGCCCCTAATCTTTCAACCGACCTCCACTGCCATCATCAAAGGGAGGGATTAAGAAGAAAGAAAGCACTTAAATCAAACATGGAGCAGAAGTAATTAGTTAATGAATTAAGGTTTCAGGATGGACCTTTATTTCAGGTGTAGTGACAGGCATAACAATCACAGCATTGCAGCCTAGTTTCTGAGCGGATAATGCCACGCCTTGTGCATGGTTTCCAGCTGATGAACATATTACTCCTCTTTCAAGCTGTTCTCTTGGGAGTTTTGCCATCATATTGTAAGCCCCTCGAAGCTTGAACGAGAAAACCTGTAGTGTGGATTTTTAGCAGGTTTACTTCATACTTACACAGACCACCTTTTATGTCAGTGAAAACCTCAACTGTATGAAACTATAATGCCTAAATGTCTAATTGTTTCCAGTTCTCATTGTAAACCAATCATCTGGCTCAACTCCTTCATTTCGCCAGAATTACGAAGGCTGAAAATGTGTATATTATAACATTGTACGCTATAAATTTGAACGAATTCGCACACTTTTAACTCGCGTACTCCATGACAATAGAAATAATGCCAAATTAAGAGAGTAATTAGCAACCATCATCACACAGTAAAACTTGACATTCCGCAAAATTAATACGTACGGGCTGAAAATCCTCTCTCTTGAGCCAGACATTGACACCCCACCTCTCCGACAGCTTGGCCGCCAGCTGCAAAGGTGACTCCACCGCAACGTCGTACACCTTGGACGACAGAATATTCGTCAGATACTCCATGGCGCTCAGCATGCCTTTCCCGACCGCCCCACTGCCCGATTTTTCATTGGGCACCAGAAACCCGCTCTCGCACTGCAGCGATCCAGGGGAGACCCTCGGAAGAGGCTTCTCCGCCACCATAGGAGGAGGAACAGGAGGATCCGCCACTGAAGCCGCCGGAATCCTCTCGAATGACACCGCGGCGCGAATCGACGGCTTCCGGCACCGGCTCCGGACGGCCGCGGGGCCGGCATTGGCGGCGGCGCCTTTTCCCGGCGAAAAAACGGCGCGAGGGAGCGGAGATTGCGCGGGTGCAAAGCGGAGAGCCTCCATTTTCTGATTTGTAGAATCAGATATGTTGTACGTACAGCAGAGAGAGAGAGAGAGAGACTGTTGTTGTTGCCCCCTGCACCCCCGCTGAGAACTGGAGAGGAGAAAATGCGAGGGAGATGGACCGTGGACCGCCCGGCCTATATTTATAGGAGAACTCGGGAAGGGTTTTGTGAACCGGAAGATTAACCGGGTCGGGAATGAGACAAATGAGAATTAGCCACGTGGTTCGGTGCTCGAATGATGGGGACACGTTGGGGGTAAGTGGGTCGGGTCACTGCATTATTGTGGGATTTTGATTTGTGAAGAATGCGGCGGCTAAAAGCCTAAAACGAGTTAAATAATGAAAACGCTATAATACACTACAACGTTGACACGAGCATCACAATTATTGGGATTTTTTTATAAAATTTCAGTAGCTTCTTCGTATTATTTTTTTTCAATAGATGTATATATTTTCAATGGTTAATTTTACTATGAGATGTCAATTGAATGTTACAAACTAAGAGTTCAATGCACGAGAAATATTTGGATTAGATTATTAGCACATACTTGATGTTTTTTCAAACAATAAAATTGAATTATTGTAATAGTTATATGGTGAAAATAGCATTGGAACAAAAAATTTTGATGAACTCATTTTATGTTGTGTTTTGTTTGTCTGTTTTTGTGAAGTTTTGACCTTCAAAACTTAGTCGTATATTCGTGGTATCTTCATGAAACATGTTGCTCGATCTCTTCTCTTCATGTTAGTGAAAGAAATAATTAATCATCTATTCTAAGTAAAATGTTATGCTTAAATGTCTGTATTGTGTTGTTTGTGTTTTCACTGTCCTACAATAATGTTATGGATTTACTATCTTCATGTTGGTGAAAGAAATAATTATTTATCTATTTTAATTTCTAAGTAAAAGGTCATGCTTAAATGTCTACCGTGTATTATTTGTCAACGAGAGTTTCACTTTCCTAAAATAATTTTATGTATTTATTACATTTCTAAGAGTTGTATATGTCTCTTAGTGATATATAGGAAGAAAAATAAAGTTAGTACCTATTTTCTGCTAAAAGTTATCCACAAAACAAAACCACTACACATGACTATTTTCTACCAATTTTTGCAGCACATGTTCTGTTGCATTTGCATAGTTAATTTATGTCCAAAAAAGCCATTCAATTTGTGGTTATCAATAGCTAAAAGTCTACTTCATTTTTCTCTGTACTTATCTATTTTATCCGTCTTGTTTTATGTTTTCATATAACTGTATAAGTTTTATTGATTAGTTTTTCTTTATCCACTTCAATGTTCTTGATGAGGTTGATTAACTATTATTTTTCTTTGGTTGCTTTGAAAGATGAAGATGGAGGTTAATCCAAGAACCCGAAAAAAACTAATATGCATTCATGTTATTCAACATTTTTTAAAATACTTTACGTTGGTTAAAGATAAAAGATTATAATGTAATAAATTGAATATTGACACTTAAACATTATTAGTATTCGATCTTGTACACATGCAAATATCTAAATAAAATATTATAAGTTATATAATGAGTATATCAAATCTTTTAATTATGATCATTATTAGAAATTAGCATTATAATTACAAAAGAAATGGTCACCATTCAAAAATGAAATCTGTCAAAATAAATCGTGTAACTGATTTTGTGCTATTACTTATTATATTAGCATTATAATTGCATTTCAGGAAATAAAAAAGCGTTACAGAATGGACACCATTCAAAATGGGACCTGCCAAAATAATTCGTATAACTTAAAGTTACATATATTTATTAAACGGTGAACATATTTTTATTAAATAAACTAATATTATTATTAACTGCTGGCTGAATAAAATTTATTGTAACTTTGTCAGTAATTATATATAAAATATTATTATTATTATTATTATTATTATTAAATAATTAGTGAACAAAAAGAAATGGAGCAAATTGACCATAAGAAAAATAATTGGGCCTTGCCACCTTGAAACCTCATTTTCTAAACCACACGACATGAGAGATTGTGGCTGCTATTCCATATTCAAAATTTGTATTATCCCTTCATTTGAAAAATAATAAATAATTCATATAACTAATTTCCATTTTCTTATTTTTTTCTCCTGTCACCTGTAATTTTGCTGACAGAAAGAAAAACAAAAATAAAAATGGAGCTCAATCTGCTTCACCACCCACTCAAGCCCAATCCTTTCCTCAGCCACTCTGTTTCTACCCTCGCCGTCGTTGGGCAGCGAAAACTTACATCTTATTTGTTAATTTCAGGTTTAAACTGATTTTAGTATTCTAAAGTTTTCTCTTTTCGTCTACAATCTGATTTTTTTTTCGATTCTACAGGAAAGAGATACTCCTGTAATAATGCATCAATCTTGGGATGCCGCTGTTCTTTGCCGTCGCCGGCGGGCCCTGTTCGAAGTTCCCCTTCGGAGAACGAGGGAAGAAGGGCACTAATGGGTTATCTCTTCGCAGCAGGTTAGCACATTACAATCAAGATTTTCTTTTGGTTGTTTGCATTTTGACCATTGGCAAATTCCTCTTCTTTTTTTTTCAGTTTATCTGAGGTTCTTGGCGATTGAGTTGAGTTTCCTTATGAATTTGATGTTAATCTGTTAGGTTTAATGACTGTATATTAAGGCTTCCAATTACAAATTACATTCAATTACTCATAACATTTTAATTTTGGCGCTAAAAGATTTTTGCAAATTGAAGCACGTAGTCAACAAATTGGGTGGGCATCAAATTCAGATGTGATTTGATATGCAACGAAGCACAAGTTGTTTTAACGATATAGTTTTTCGACCCTACATCAATTTTTTTTATTTAAATTTAATTTACATACTTAGTGTTGTTTTAACACTATTTCATCTAACAGCTGCTGGGATTTCATTCTGTGAAGCTGCTCGTGCTGTGAGCACAAGCAGAAGAGCTGTAAGTTTCTCCTTT